GATGCACTGCACTTCCACCCATTGCGATCAGCACTGCGCGCAACGGCATTACAGTACAGTATATACAGCAGTGTACAGTGTACTGTATAGTACAGTACAGTACAGTATAGTTCACCGAAGACAGCCGTGCGTCCCTGTGCCCGACCGTAGCAGCTTAATCAAGCCTCAGGCACAGGTTATTGTACGCCCTTCGCCCAGGTCCGGACCGCGTCTTCCTTCGCTTCGGTGGGTGCCTGGGGCCTACAGTACAGTACTGTACATGGGGTTTTCAGGCTTTGTCCAGTTTGTTCCGTGGGTTTGTTGGGCTTTGGGGCTTTTAAAAGGTTCTTGTTCTCTGAACTTCGAAGGGGTCGGGGTTTCGTTGTTGCGAGTGCGTGCACAGGAGGGCACGTCCCTGCTTCAATGCCACCTGATTCAGGAATGCACTGCCCTATTCTGCTCGATAGCACCCAGCATTTTCCTACCAGTGCAGCACCTGGCTCAATTCCCTGACTTGTCGGCTCTCCCTCAGTTTTGGAGCCGCCATTCTGCTCGCCCCTGGACTCCGCTTATACCTGCTCTTCTTACAACATGCCGAAGCGCAAACAGGCGGACAAGCTTCCCAACACCGCGAAAGCACGTGCACGCAGACATCACTCCCCGCCGTGCTCATCTAGCATCGAGACCTCCGATGAGGAGAGAACAGCTGCAGCTGCTACATCGACGGCGTCAGGTTCAAGGTTGCCGGGACATGGGAAGCCGGCTGGCCCTCCCCCACCCAAGCCGGTCAACTTGCCCCCGGCTGGGCCTCCGCCGCCAACACCGGCGACCACGATCCCAAAGACGACTGGACCCAAAGCAGGCATTGCGGCCACAGGCCCTCCTTCGAGTGCAGCAGTGCCGAGTGCGCCGAGCACCACACCGAGCATCTCTCCCAATCCCGCTGCTGCGGCCATGTTCATGCCGACTTCAATGCCGACTTCCATGCCGACTTCAATGCCTACACCATGTGCTACCAGTGCCGGCCAGCAGGCCAAGGCTAGGCCACCGGCACAGCAGAACGGGCAGGTCACGGTTCCGGTCCCGCCGGTTAACATCCAGTACTCGATCACGATCACAGCCAGGGCCGTCCGAGCACATGCTGAGCCAGCCGCGACTGATCCCGGCACAAGCACCGGCTAGATTCTAGATCAAGAATCAAGGTGCCCCCTCCAGGCTTCCGCTTCGGAGAGTGCGAGACAGCCTACAGGTATGACTCTACTTAGCAGGTCCAGTCATCCTGGCCAAGTCATACATACAGTATGCTATGAGACTGCAGCTTTTCGGTGCCTGGAGAGGGCATTGCCCCTTTTGCAGCCGTGCGGGGTGCCTGAAAAGCGAGCCGGGGTGAGTTGCGCGGTTTGGTTTGTCCCCTCCCCCTCCCTTGAGGTTTGCCTCCTCGCCTCTTAGGTTTCAGGGATTCCTTCCTTACCCCTTGGTCCCCGTAGGAGTGCCTATCGAGTGCCGTGCGTGCCCCTCTCCCCGACCGTAGTTCTGTCCCGTCCCCTTTGTGTTTTGTCTTCTTGCTTCGCCCAGGTCCAGACCGCGTCTTCCTTCGCTTCGGTGGGTTCCTGGGGCCCAGTACAGTACATAGGGTTTTCAGGCTTTGTTCAGTTTGTTCTGTGGGTTTGTTGGGCTTTGGGGCTTTTAAAAGGTTCTTGTTTTGTGAACTTCGAAGGGGTCGGGGTTTCCTTGTTGCGAGTGCGTGCACAGGAGGGCCTTGCGCTGCTGCCACCCCGCCCCTCTCGTATGCTAGCAGCTACAGTACTGTACTGTACAGTAGACTGCCCTGCAACCCCAGCCCGTTCCCGGGAACCCCGGGCCTCTCGCCACGGTCAGGTCTCTTCGCTCGGCCTCCAGCTTGCTTGGACCCCGGAGTGCAACCTCTCCGAGTTTACAGTACAGTACAGTACAGTACAGTAGGGTTGAGGGATTTGTATTGCTGCTCTATGCCGAAATGGCACAAACGACTGCAGTTAGCATATGTTCTCGGGGCATTGGGGGAGGCAAGTGCTTGGTGAGGCCTCTGCGGGCAGCGGAGCATCTCGTCGGGAGCTCGAAGTGCTGTACAGTTACAGTACTGTACGTACAGTACAATGATGCACTGCACTTCCATCCATTGCGATCAGCACTGCACGCAACGGCATTACAGTACAGTACAGTATATACAGCAGTGTACTGTATAGTACAGTACAGTATACAGTTCACCGAAGACAGCTGTGCGTCCCTGTGCCCGACCGTAGCAGCATAATCAAGCCTCAGGCACGAGTTATTGTACGCCCTTCGCCCAGGTCCGGACCGCGTCTTCCTTCGCTTCGGTGGGTGCCTGGGGCCTACAGTACAGTACAGTACATGGGGTTTTCAGGCTTGGTTCAGTTTGTTCCGTGGGTTTGTTGGGCTTTGGGGCTTTTGGGTTCTTCGTTGTTGCGAGTGCGTGCACAGGAGGGCCTCGGGTTGGTGCTCTTCGCTCCCCTTCTTCATGCTAGGTCGCTGGTGCTCCTGACCTCCCGGGTGCTGGCCAGGCCGTGTCCCTGCTTTGAACTTTTTTTTGCCTTCCTCAACGGTTTGCTGCGACAGCTCTCGGAAGATCATCGCGACTCTGCTGGAGCCGGGCAAGCGACATCGCCACTTCCTGGAGAAGGTGCTTGCATGTGCTCATGTGTTGCCAGGGCCCATCTCATCACAGAACAACACAACACGACACCACACAGCATCACACAGCATCACACAGCACAGCGCAGCAGAAAAGCCCACAGCCACACAACATCAGCAAGCGAGTTTCACCTTGACTTTCACGGATGTACCGGAGGGGTGGCTTTCGCATGTGCAAACATTGTCTGTCGGCTGCGTGCATCTTTGTCTGGGTATGCCTGCACACGTATTCCACTGACACGTCTGCGTGTGCTGACTCGTGGGCAGGTGCATCAGTCGTGCCCATCCCGATGCAGGCCTCTGTTTCTGTGCACTTCGTGTGCTGCGGGTCTCGGGTGCCTGGTCCTTGGCATGCCTCCTTTACTTCTGTTTTCCTAGTCCGAAATGCTGCTTGGTGCTTGCCCTTGGTCAGGTTCCTGCTCCGAATGACGGCATCATCGAGGCTGCCTGGACCTTGGGCGTCAGCTGCCTCCTCTGCTGGGCCCCGTCGTTGCTGTGTACTTGACTAACGGGGAGCAGGGGGTGGGCACATCCTTGGGTGCATCGTTGGCCTGGACCTCGGGCTTGAGGTTTGCTGGCCTCTTCGTTGTGGTAGTCTTCGCAGTGCTTTACAGTAGGTCCCGGAGCCCGAGAATGCAGCGGCACCTGTTGTGGCAACATGATGTCTCTGTGTCTTGCGAGGCTTCCTTGGATGACCTGGCACCGACAACACACGAGTCATTGGCCTGGGCCTTGGGCCTCCTCGGCAGGCTCTTGCTTCGGGCATATTCATGCTGTGTTGCTGCACCGTAGTTGGGCATGTCTCTCTGCCGTAGCACTTACGGCTCCTCGACGACGGTGGTCGCACTCACGATTTGACGATCGGCAATGTCTGAGCCGGCCGGGAACGAGCAGCATGTCACTCCTGCTACTCACATCCGTCGCAGTCACTCTGGGAGCCCCGATGTGCCAGTCCCGGATCTTAAAAGGCGCCGCCGAACTGGATGCCAGGACGTCGAGGACAACACAGTGGAGAGCGAGCGCCCAAGAGGATCCTTGGCATCACTAGCAGATCTCTGGAGTGCCATGTTTGGGTGGCCCGCACGTGCGGCTGGATCTTCTGCTGATCGTGCCGATGCCGTGCAGCAGCAGTCCTCTGCTGATCGTGCCGATGCTGTTGATCGTGCCGATGCTGTGCAGCTGCAGTCCTCCGTGGGCCCAAAGACGCCATCTCCACGTGCTCGACGTGCTGCTCCCCGATCCCCTGTAGGTGCGGTCAGGCAGGGTGAGCCGGTGCCACAAGGTGGTCGTCTGCAGGATGCAGACACGAAGCTCCACGGAAGCACATGATCTTGGCCACGGCAACATGGATCATCGGATCGCGATTGGGGTTCGCTCGCGGGAAAAGGGATACCGGAGCACTGCTGGTCTCCACGTACGGTGCTGGCTTGCATGCTCGGACCCATTGCTGATTGATGTGGCTGTGAGGCCGTTGACAGATCCATGCCGGCATCGACATCTCCGGAGGCGGTATGTCCTGAGTCGGCCGTGTGCTGCAAACGACATACGGAGACATCGGCCATGTAGCAGGTCACTACAGTACTCTTGCTACCAGTAGTGGAGCCGCTCCGGCAGCAGGGCCACTGCACAGTACTGTACAGTACTGTAGACTGCCCTGCAACCCCAGCCCGTTCCCGGGAACCCCGGGCCTCTCGCCACGGTCAGGTCTCTTCGCTCGGCCTCCAGCTTGCTTGGACCCTGGAGTGCAACCTCTCCGAGTTTACTGTAGGGTTGAGGGGCTGAGGGGTTTGCATTGCTGCTCTATGCCGAAATGGCACAAACGACTGCAGTTAGCATATGTTCTCGGGGCATTGGGGGAGGCAAGTGCTTGGTGAGGCCTTTGCGGGCAGCGGAGCTACGGTCAGGTCTCTTCGCTCGGCCTCCAGCTTGCTTGGACCCTGGAGTGCAACCTCTCCGAGTCTAGGGTTGAGGGGCTGAGGGGTTTGTATTGCTGCTCTATGCCAAAATGGCACAACCGACTGCAGTTAGCATATATTCTCGGGGCACTGTGGGATGCAAGTGCTTGGCGAGGCCTTTGCGGGCAGCGGAGCATCTCGTCGGGAGCTCGAAGTGCTGTACAGTTACAGTACTGTGCGTACAGTACAGTGATGCACTGCACTTCCACCCATTGCGATCAGCACTGCACGCAACTGCAGTACAGTATATACAGCAGTGTACAGTACAGTATACAGTTCACCGAAGACAGCTGTGCGTCCCTGTGCCCGACCGTAGCAGCTTAATCAAGCCTCAAGTTATTGTACGCCCTCGCCAAAAAAAACACCAAGCCCGCCATGACCTCCGTGATGGACATGCTGATGAAGAATGTGAGTGCGCAGGAGATGGCGCGAGCCAGGCGGGCCAGCCAGCAGGTGGCGCAAGCTCCGGGGGAGCCTGCCACCAGCGCTGGGCCGCCGGCCGAAGACGACGCTGTCTCTGAGGCCCCACTTGCTTCAGAGAAGGGCGATGCGAAACTGCCCGCCCTGCCACCGGGTGTCCACCGATTCATGAAACAGACCCGGGCAAACCTGGACAAGAGCACCTACCGGAGATTTCAAGCGGTGCATTGGGGTGAGGCAAGGGATGCGGTGGCGATCGCCTGGAAGGAAGAGGCAGAGAGAATTCTCTGCGATTTCGAGTTGAAATCATCCAAAGACGCACTTGCCTTCCTGCAGAGCATGGACTTGTCCGTTGCCTCTTCAGCTACGATTGAAGCAAAACGCTGTCTCTTGGTGGAGTCGCTGCAGAACGGCCGCATTCAGCAGGTGGAAGACCGGCTGTGCCTGGTTGCCCTCAAGACACTCGCCCACCTAGATGAAGTTCCTTCTGGCTTCAATTTGCGAAGCCGTCCTGACGGCTTCCACGCCGAATGGAGTGGGAAGAAGGGAATGCTGCTCAAGGCCCGTCTTCTGCAGAACTGGACATCGCCGTGCTCAACTACTGTAAAGTACTGTGGAGCACAACGCTGTACTGTACTGTATACAGTAGTCATGTACCGTAGCGCAAGCTGTGTGCTGCTCTGCATTGCTACTTGCGGTACTGTACTGTACAGTACCGCACTGTGCTGTACTGTACTGTACAACATGATACTGCACAGTACTGTAGATTGAGTTTCATTTCATCTGAATGCCGCAGGTGCACAAATCCGCTGCTGCAGCCTGTGCTTTCTTGCAGAGTATGCAAGCTGCTGAGCAGAGCGGGGCGGTGGAGAAGTCGCTCAAGGAGCTGGAAAATCAAGGCTCAGCAGCAGGGGAGTCGCAGAAAGCTATCCGGGCACTGCTGAAGCATTCGAGCTCGCAAGAACTGGGCCAAGCCGTGCTGGAACTAGCCGATGCTGAGACTGAGACGCCTGCCGTGCTTGCAACTGCCGAAGACATTACGGCGGAGTTCCTAGCACCCATGTCGCAGATGGGGCCGGAGCTGTGTGTCGCCGAGGTTGGCGTGTACAAGGGAATGCTGAGGTATCTGCATTCTGCGACCGACCCTCGCGGCCTCCTGGCTGCCACTTCCGATCTTGTCTGCCGGGACTTGATCTTGAGTTCTGGGACGCCCCTGCGGGACGTGCTGAAGACACCCGAGCTGCAGGAACGCTGGAAGGCTCTCGACGTGAAACCAGTGGGCATGGTGGTGCAAGGAGGGGCGTCGCCGCAGCAGCATCACGAAGATCTGGAGATCCTGCGCCAGGCAAATCCGTCCGCCGAGCAGCTGCTGTTTATGTCCTTCCCCGGGCCTATTTCATGGCAGGTGCAATTCAACAACGGTCTCCAGTGCTGTAGAGCGGAGCCGAACTCCCACGTGGGTCGGAGAGCGGGTAGGACCAGCTTCACAGCAGCCAGACTGGAACAGCTGGGCGTCACGTTCGAGGACGAAGCACGGGCACTGGCACTGAGGGCCATCCAAGCCACCACGGAAGCAGGGATGCAGCGGGTTGAGAGACGCACCCAAGCCCAGATCATACCCGTGCCTCCTGATGGACTTTGCTGCTACCATGCCCTGATTGCCGGCCTCGCCTGTGCCAGATACCTGCGCGGCACGGCATACATTACAGTACATACTGTACAGTAATGTACAGTACTACTGTACTGTACTACAGTACTGTACTGTACGGCGTGGTAATTACAATACAGTACTGTACTGTACTGCGCAGTACTGTGTCAAATTCCGAAACCGGACAAATAACCGCAGTTAGCATATCAATTGGAGCGTCCGCCCTTTCTGTGCCACATGTCTGTGCAGTACAGTACTGTACAGTACGGTACGCATTGCACTGTCCTGCAGTGCTAGCACATTGTTTCCCGAGGCATAGACCGAACGTCGTTGGGCTTCGCCAGGAACAGTCGGCAACAGCGGCTGGAAGCAGGGGCGGCTTACGCACTCCGGAACCTGGCGCTGGAGGCAACAGCCGACCTGGAATTTCCGGAGTGGCTGGCGCGGCTCGCCCACAACGCCGCCCAGCAGATGCCTGTGGACGTGCAAGAGCTGCACTGGCTTGCACGTTCGCTGGAGCTGCGGATACGGTGCACCGTGGACGCAGAGGCGCTCATAGGGAAACTGCGCAGTTAGCACCTGCTGAGCAGGCATGGGGGCATGAGGGGCACAGTACAGTACTGTACGTACAGCACATTCGAGAATTGAAGTCGTTACGCATGTTTGTGGATCTGACCAGACACAGGGGGGAAGCATTTGCATAAGTCACAATGCCCAAAGACTTTCCTTCAGCGCAGTTCTGCGCAGTGGTGTACTGTACAGTACAGTATCCGCTGTTATCTGGAGGTGCTGCAGTGGGTTGTCGGCATCAACGAGGATGCCATCTATGGGGATTGTACCGACGACACCTATGACGTCCATGTGTACTTCCGCTGTCTCACAGGCGAGGACGGCAGACGATGCAGCCACTTTGATCTTCTTCTCCCGTATTCCGAAGGCGATGAGCAGATCGGAATGGTGATCCCCGTGCCGCCTACAGTGAAGCCCGCCCCTGTTTGTGAAATGTACAATGATCGCTTTCCTGGCCAGCAGATGGAACCGATGAACGACAAGCCTGAGGAGCAGAATCAGGAGAACGTTTTGCAGGGGGATGAAGTTGAGACGATGGCCCCGCAGATCACGGAGGAGCAGAAGGACAAACAGGCCGAGTCCCAGGAGCAGAGAGGGGAGCAGATAAAGGAGGGAACGGCCAACAGCGAGTCCCCGGAACAGGGCGAGGAGCCGCCGATGCCTGCGGAGACCCCGAAGCTACTGACGGAGAATCGCCAGGATGAGAATGCAGAGAAAAAGGAGGAGGACACTGAGACCAAAGGTGAGGCCAAGAACGAGCTCCCGCAGCAGAGGCAGAATCAGCAGGTGGACATCCCAGACAAGAATATGGATGAGGCAGGTGAGACCAGTCATCAGGGGCTTGAACAGCAGCAAGAGCAGGCTGACAAGCAGTTGCATGATGAGCAGAGGGAAGTTGAGGAACTGGAGGAAGAGGACAAGGGCGAGGGAGGGGAGGAGCATCAGGAAAGCAACAAAGAGGAGCAGCGGCAGGAAAACAACCAGGGGCTGCAAGAAAAGAGTCAGGGAGGGAAGGAGCAGGAGCAGGAACTCAGTGAGGAAGCGGAGGCAGATGAAAAAGGCGAGGGCGAGGAGAAGGAGCAGGAAGTTGATGCTGAACAGGAGGAAGATGATGAGGGCGAAGGAGAGGAGGAGGAGGAGGAGGAGGAGGATGAGGAGGAGCAGGAGAAGGAGGAGGAGGAGGAGGAGGAGGAGGAGGAGGATGAGAAGGAGGAGGAGGAGGAGGAGCAGGAAGATGACGAAGGTGAACAAGCAGAGG